TGCAGTTTCTTTCCCACAGATTCAACATTGCAATCCCATCACTACTCTATCGCTATTTCCATGGCAAATGTTCAGATGAGCTCCATTCTTTAGTTCCCCTAGTTCAGACTTTTACAGCTCGGATATTTACACAGTCCTGAAAGGGAAGGCTTATTCTCCACTCTGCAGCTTATTTCCCACAGACTAAACACTGTAAGCCCTTCACTACTCTATCGCTATTTCCATGGCAAATGTTCAGATGAGCTCTATTCTTTATTTGCACCATTTCAGACCTTTACACCTACAACTCGTCATATATTATCTCCCCTGAACACTACTACCTTAACCTCTTCAAATCAAGGCTCAGTCGTTAGCTATCTTCCTTATCCTGCCACATCTTTTTCCATTGATATCATACACATTCTTCATTTTAACATTAATCTTCTACTTTGAGTGGCTCTCGAATCTGGCATTGGGTGGACTATAGAATACGAAAATACTTTGGTAAATTTTATTGACTTTATACTGCTATAATAAGTGAAATTTTCTCGGTTCGACTAATTGCCGAGGATGATAAATAATCTCCCTTTATATAATTACAATTAGTTCAATTAATTTAACCAGCTAAGCAACCAGTAATTTTAATCATAAACCCCAAATAAAATTCCCATCAGTAAGTTATCTCTCACAGGTTTCCTTCAGCAATTAGTCTAACTGCTAAAATCCATTTTCTAAAATCGATGAAACTCTCCAGAATCTATCTAATAAGTTACAAAAATAGAAACAACCTTTAATTTAAAAATCCACAAACTTCTAACAAAACTTCTCTCGGCAATTCGTCTTATTTATTGAAAACGTGAGGGAACTGAAACTTTCGGCATTATTTATAGTTATTCACTGGTCAATTTACACCACGTGGTTCACGCATGCGCGTTGAGGCGCAAGTTATGTAAACCCAATCACGTTATTTAGTAGTCGCATTCGTATAGGAACATCAAAGAGGAAAAAGGGTATATTTTCATTAGAATAAAAAAATCTCATCTCTGAGAAAATAAATAGATGAAATAAAATATCCCACTATTTGGTAGGATGTAAGCAGAATCAGATACAGATTTTCCCCAGGCAAAGCCAACAATAATCCCACCTCCTTTTTACAAATTCATAATTTTTATGTCAGAAGTCTGAAATAAAAGATCAAATAAAAACATGAAATTGCCATTTTTGTTTTAAATCGATTGAAAATTATAAATCATTTTTGGTTGGCTTTTTCTTTTAAAAAGAGAAAGAAAACTAAAAGAAAATGTTTTGGCACAAAAATCCTTTTGAATTAACGTGTACTTTGTATAATACCTACTTACGCCATTAGTAATATAACATTAAAGCTTTTAATTTAACAAACTTTTAAATATATACACCATTTAAAAATACAGCGTGTAACCAATCCATTATATTATTATAATATTTACACACAATTAGACAGAGAAAAGATCAGAAAACAGACAAAGCAAAAAAAAATGTTTCAGAAAAGTTTAAATTTCAAATACATGAGAATCTCACTTTGCAATGTTTCACAAATTCATCTGGATCTGTTACACAAAGTAGCGACTCTCAGAAAGAATCTGAATGGAACTTCCTTCTGGAATTTATAGGTGATTGGGATGAGTCAAGTCTGCTGATGTGTCATGATGGATTCTAGATGTAAAGCTCTGAACTGGTGAGATTTGAAGCTGGTCTGAACATGTTGGATGAAGTAAAAGAAGACTTCTTTGCTCTAAGCATAGCCACAGGCAATACCGGATATGGATGATACCGACAATCAGACGGATTAAATAACTCAAGTATCTTGTTCGATAGATCTGTTATCAAGAGTAGTGAATATATTGGCGTAATGAAGTATATTCAGAGATGAAATCTCGCAATCATTAGTTCTATGTTCATGTACTTAATTTGGTATCCCAGATTGTTCTATTAGAATTTTATAATAGTTTATAGTGGCCAATGACTTTTACATGGTACTGTATTACGTAGCATTAACATTAATAAACACAACACTATTGAATACATATAACATCTTATTTGCTTAAAACCCTTGCTTTTGTTTATTCAGCTGACTAGGTTTTAGTATTAAGTGGGGCCATTTTTCAAATTTACATCCCGCCAACTACTGATCGTGTATATATTATTAAGATGAGATCTCAATAGTTTTAAAGCATCGACCCGATTCTCCTCTCTCCCCAACGCTGATGTTTGGCTAGTTATGAGTTGCCAACATTTAGTCGATACAGAAAAATAGTTTTGGATCAATTGAACCAAACTGGAGTAACTAGTTGCTTCCAGGCAACGATCAGCCATATCACTGACGATCAAGCTTAAACGCGTGTCTGGCAGTGCGCAAAAAGCACGTGGTTTTGATCCAAGAATCCATTTTGTGCGCCGTTTATTCCCTTTCATGTTAAACCCATTATCATGACGTTGACCACGAGGATTTCCAATTTGTAATCCTATTTTCTAAAGCCGTTCAAGAGGAGTTTTCAGTTATAAAGACCACTGCAGTCTCTTTTAGTTGAACAAATTCCAAGAAACGCTCTCTTATGATAACTTCAGGCTCAGACATCACATTATCTGACGGTTTTGATTGCATCAACAAAATTTACAATTATTGTCAGTTGTTCAACTGTGATTTACATCTTCCGCTGCAAGCTGTATTTGTTCACTGAACATATTTTTTCTGGACAATTGTTTTTCTTTTTCTTTCCTGATTTTGTGATAACCACATCTTTTGGCATAAAATGTATCAACCAATTACGTCATTCTTACGTCACACATTTTCAATATTTATTATTATTTATTGTATTTAAAATACAATTGCGGCACAAGGCCAAAATGGGGAGGGGTTGAGGCTGGTCATCACTATCTTATACCTAGCTAATCTGATTCACGACCCATTCACACATTACAATTTCCACATTCACCATAAGAATTCATCCGTCACCATTCAATCCTCCATACACCATAATACCGCATCCTCTCAAGGGGAACCTACAAAAGGCGCCCCATGCCATAAAAATCAAATGCTTATAAAATATATACTTGAAAATTTATGGATGAATAGAATGAGGCTCTCTCGCTAAGGGAGTGGGAAAGGAGAAAAATATACGGACATGGGAAATAAAAAGCTGACCCAGTCGAGATAAAAAAAGGGGCCGAAACAAACTGGGGAGGTTGGGAATCTCAACTTGGATCATAACCAAAGAAGCAGCCGGGAACAGGCAAGGAACATCACTTACTCACATTAACTAGGTACACATTTTCAATATTTATTAACCTTCTCTTGCGTAGGAAAATCTTACTTTTTCTTCTTTTCTTTTTTCACTTGTTTGGCAAATTATGGGATGCGACTCGCTGTAGTCCATGTATTATAAACTGTCAGAAATCATTGTTACAAAATTAAGGTCATTAAGTAGTGTCATGCGATTAAAGATAGACACAGTACCGCCATAAAACCAGACCCAGATAAAAAAAAAAAAGAAAAAGCATTTAAAGTTCACTGGACTACGTGGATGTCCTATTGATTCAGAAATTGAAAATCTATTTTAAATACTGAACTTATCTATCTATATAGGATTTGGTGTTGTCAGTGCTAAATAGAACCGTGGTTATTGTTTCATTTTTCAACTTACAAACACAAGTTACAGTGTCACTGAATATTTAATCATAGGTGGCAATATAAACATTGATGTATTTGTTTTACATTTTTAATAATGTAGGGTTGTTAGCAAAAGGGTGAGCCCAACAAGAAAATTACAAATTGGAAATGTCACAATCAAATAACTACAGAAGTTTAAATATCAAGGAAGTGTTCTAACAGAGGACGTAAAATCAGTCAGTCAGTTATGTGCTATGCGTAATACGCGCTTAGGCCATCATGTATCTTTCGATACATGACTGACGAGGCAGATTTTTTCCTGCAGTAGACCAGTTGCCATCTAAGGCTGTAGAAACCGGTCAGTCCTGCTATTTGCCCATATGTAAGGTGGGGGGGGGGGAGAAGAGGATTCATACCTTTCACAAGGGTATTAACACGTAAGTGAATTTCAGTCAGCCAAGCGTGATACACGTGTAGGCGATCATGTATCTTTCGATCCATGACTGACGAGGCAGATTTTTTCTCACTGTAGGTTGCCATTTCTTTCTGCAGTAGACCACTTGCCATCCAAGACTATAGAAACCAGTCTGTCCTGCTATTTACCCATAGCTGGAGGGAGAAGAAGAGGATTCATACCTTTCCCAAGGGTATTAGAACGTAAGTGAGTGTAATGGATTCGACTTCAATTCGAACTCGGCTCTCCGAGTCGCTAGCTATCCATTACTCCACCGTGCCTCCTCTGACGGAAAATACGAAACCGAAAACTGAAAGCGCACTGGAAAGCAAAAAATGCCTTCAAAAAGCTAAGCAAAGTATTAAGAAACAATAAAATTCCATTAGAAACAAAGAGAAGAGTACTGAATTGTTATATAATATCAGTCCTCCTATATGGCATCGAATGCTGGGCAATCTTTCACAAATGAAGAAATTAACTTGAGGAAACAGAAATGTGATTCTACAGGAAGCAAGAAGTACGAGAAAAGAAACTATTAGAATAAAAACGAAGGCTGCATCTAGCTAGTAAAACAGTAAAACGGTGAGACCTAACTGCCAACCTAGTAGCATGCTTAAATTCATGCAATCGAGCTACCAATGGGGAAAGTTCATTATAACAATTGCCATGAAAATATCTGCAGAAAGGGCAGAGGGAAACCATGTCATCTTAGTAGGAAAGTGATTCAGGTTGAGATGCCTGATTGAGATCGATTACATTGATTAATTTTGTCACGAATCTCAAGATATATAGTAAGAGCGCCAGACAAGATATGGCAGCAATATTCACTGAACGGAGAAATTGTAGTTTTATAAAAGCGCAAGAAGGATTCTGACGAGAAGTATATTGTGGATAGGCAGAATGGATAATTCTGAGGGGACCTTAAGAGACACAGATAGATAGTGAAAAGGCAAATTTAGATATGGACATAGATAGATAGATAGATAGATAGATAGATAGAGAAAATGCAAATTTAGATATGAACATAGATAGTGAAAACGCAAATTTAGATATAGACATAGATAGATAGATAGATAGATAGATAGATAGATAGATAGATAGATAGATAGATAGTGAAAAGGCAAATTTAGATATGGACATAGATAGTGAAAAGGCAAATTTAGATATGGACATAGATAGATAGATAGATAGATAGATAGATAGATAGATAGATAGTGAAAAGGCAAATTTAGATATGAACATAGATAGTGAAAAGGCAAATTTAGACATGGACATAGATAGATAGATAGATAGATAGATAGATAGATAGATAGATAGATAGATAGATAGGCCACGACTCGAATATCGTCCACAAGTGGCATTAGAAAAATATACATGTCTCAATAATTACAGGAAGCTGTAGGGTACAGTATGACCCCCTTGTAACGCGACCGACGAAAAAATGTGTGGTTGTACTAAATAGGAATTCAAGAAAATTTCTATCATGCAGCAGATGTCCGAAATGGAATTAAGATTTTTGTAGGACTACTCCCGCAGGTGTTGGGGAAGAGGTTGCATATCTACCTTGAAGATCATTATTCAAAATTCTATTTTTCTTTTAACTCGGCGTGAACCCTGATCTCTGCTACCAGCATAAATTCCGCAATTACCTAAAGGAACAAACAGACGTAATTCTGGTACGTCGTGAAATGAAATTGGTCAGGAATTTAAGCGTGATACTAGATTGGCAGTTAGGTCTCACCGTTTGACTCTTAAACTAACAAGATATAACCGTCAATTTTATTTTAATAGTTTCTTTTTCTGGCCTTTAGAACACTTTCGGTTTCTTGCTTTCCTGTCATTGGCCATCTTCTGTCGCCCTGAAATTTGTTCTTTTATTGTCCTTTCTCCTCACTAAAGTCTTCTGATTCTCTTTCAATACCAGCAACCCATTGCGTCTTAGTGGCATTATCGCCTTGCTTGGAATGAAAAGATTAAAAACTTCAGTACCTTTGAGTTTCAAATAGACGGGACCCGATGATTATTCTTTATAGGAGAGACACCCACCAGGGATATCCTTATTCCAATCACTCCTTTTAATAAATATTCAGAAAATTTCTTCCCGGCCCTTAAATTTACGTTGCGAACCTCCTAGGACAAAGAGTTTTTTTTGTGATATGACAAATGTCCTATTGTTTCTAAAAAGCAGTGATATATTTTGAGAGTTGATGTGTTGCACGAAGGAAAGGCGAGTTGAGTGTTTGCAAAAAAAAAAAAAAAAACTGCCCGAACCGTCTAGAAACTTTGGTGTGTATTTTAAAAGTCGCTTGAAAAAGCCACGCAATTTAGAACTTCAGGGCAAGGAAGAGATCCTGGAGATATCGCTATGTGAACTCCCTTAGTTATACGCCAGATAGACATGAGATCGATGGTAAATATTTTGGAATTGATTCTTATGGTTACTTTGGCAACAGCAGATAAGCCTGGGCCGTAGCAGCAGCACAGTGTTGTATAGAAACAGTGACGCAACAGTAAGTAAAAGTATGACTATTAACTGAGATGGTTGTCGTGGTGATTTAGTGGCAGCAATAGTAGTTACACTAGTGATAGATAGAGTAGATACTGTTCTAATTGGTAATTTCTTGAAAGCAGAACCAATTACTGATATTATAAGGATCCGACGATTATACAGTATAGTTGGAAAGAAGAGAGTCCGAAATGAAAGAAATTGAACTAATGAGACAGATATGAAATGAATTGGATATGAAATACGGACAGATTGAGATGAGATGATATGATCGATCAAGCGAAATATGCTAAGCGTCTATTGAGATTAGATAGATAGATAAGAACAGACTGAGAGAGATAGATATGATTAGGTTGATATAGATAGATACATAAATAAATATGAATAGACTAAGTTATATATATATATATATATATATATATATATATATATAGAGAGAGAGAGAGAGAGAGAGAGAGAGAGAGAAAGATGAACAGACTAAGATAGATAATGGCTGATATAGATAGATACATAGATATGAATAGACTTAGATATGAAGAGTTAAGATAGACAGACAGACAGACAGACAGATAGATAGATAGATAGATATGAAGAGATTAAGCTAGCTAGATAAATAGATAAATATGAAGAGACTAAGATAGATAGATATGATTAGGCTGATATAAATAGATACATAGATAGATATGAATAGGCTTAGATAGATAGATAGATAGATAGATAGATAGATAGATAGATAGATAGATAGATAGGAACTGACTACGGTAAATAGAAAACAGACTGAGATAGATAATAACACTGATAATCAAACATGTGTGTGTGTGTGTGTGTGTGTGTGTGTGTGTGTGTGTGTGTGTGTGTGTGTGTGTGTGTGCGTGTGTGTGTGTGTGTGCAGTCGCATTCACTTGTCTGTCTTTCATTGGCGTGTGCATTGTGAGTTTAGTAACTTCGGACGGTCGGTGCATTTTTATAACATAAAGCTTATATATTGACACGCGCTCGCACACACACATGGATAGATTCGGACAGACTGAAATAAACAAACATGGACCGATAATTACTTAAAAGAGACTTATTTATTTTCGATTATTATCTATATCTTTTTATTGCTGCTGTAATAAAAGAATCAGCAAGTACTTGACGAAAACTTCATCTCGTAATCTGTCTATACTTGTCAATCGGAATCACATTGCTTCGTCCGAGAAACACAAGTCCCTTAACTTAAAGCAGTTATTTAACGGAGGTTTCTTATGCTATACGCACTATGCAAGTTGTTAATTTTGGGTTTAATACAAAAAATATCTCATTGTTAACAAAATTAACTCCATGTTATATCCCACTGTTTGTATTCGGTTCCTAGATTTTTGGCAGAGAGCTGAGTTCCAATTCCAGTCGGGTTCGTTCTATTTACTCACGGGCAAATATTCTTGGGAAAGGTATGGATCCACCTTTTTCCGCCCAGCTATGGATTAAATCAGTAGAACTTTTAGCAGTAAATCATTATTATCCCAAAATATTATTACAATCTAAAAAGATTTTCTCGTTTTAAATAACATGTAAAAAGTTTGAAAAGCCGTAAAAACAAATAAATTAAAAACCTATATTTTCGGTGTTCGTAGTCAGCCCCTAAATTTTCGATTTTCGTATTAGGCCTTTAGATTTTCATTGTTCAGTCAATTAGCTTGAAAAGTTATTCATGCATTTGAAGTAAAGCTAATGTTCGAGTCGTGTGGTTTATTAAATGATCTGGTGCATGATTAGCGAATATTTCAATCGCCGAACTTATACGTTGAGAGGTTTGTGTGTAATGTCGCTGAATCTGTGCGTAGAGCTGTTTGTGAATGGCGTCAAGAAATAGTGGTAGTTTCAGTAGTCAGAAAAGCCTAACCAAAAGTTCTGTTTTTAAAGGTTGTGATAGACACGAGACAGGGTCCCATAAAATAATTCTTAACAACGCTTCTGATTGGATGAAAATTATTTATGCCATTTTTCCTGTTATTTTTTTTAAAATATTTTTAGCGACTTGAATTTACGTTTTCGATCCTGCCTGTTTATAAAAACTACTTTTTTTGTTATCTAGTCGAAAAACTGAACAATGAAACATGCATTGCGTATGTTGTGTTTTATTGCTGTAGCCCAATGATTAGCACATTGTTCTCGTACCATGGATTTCATCCTACTTGTATTTAGTTCCTTTAGTTTGGCATATTAAATGTTTACACGATTACTCACCAATGCGTCTGCTAGTTGACTGAAAAATACCGAGATATCACCTCCTACCGCTAGTCTTTAAAGGTTTAGATCTATAAATCACTGACAGCAGTGTAGTGCTGCATTTGATGAGTCAAATCGAAATATAGAAGTGCTACGGTTCAATTAAGTCAAACTTTTAGTCACAATATCAGTGGGATATAAATTCATTCACAGGCAACAAATAACACCCAGTCCATGTTGAGAACAGGTCATTACAACCTTCTCCGTATGTAAGACAATTGTGGTAAACGGTTTTTAATCGTCAGATTTCTCGAACTTTTTCGTTGCCCCTCGTACTTTATATGATAATTATTATATTAGGCTGTCTCGGGAGATGATGTTGTAACGCAGAGTATTCCGAGCTTGAGAAAAGGCTATGAAGATCTTGGGCTACTCATAAGTCAATATCCGCCCAAGGCATTAACGGTAGAGTCCAACGGAAAGGCGAAACCAAAACAGTTTGGTCGCAGGTACGACTTCAGGTGTTGCTGGAAGAGAGCACGGTGCATCATCCAACCTTTTTGGACTTGTATTGGGTTTACTTCTTAACTTTCACTTTTCCCGAAAACAATATTTTGTATCAAATGTAAGTGCAATCGGGAATAATCATGCCGATGGGAATTGTTTAACTTATAAAATAAACATGCCGGTTCAAATAAACATTCTGTCGGGAATTTTTATAAGATTATATGCAAACGTTTTTATTTAATTTTTTTTTTTTTTGTTTATTTTAATCATTTCACTTCAAGCAAGGCAATAAAGCGAGTAAGACACAAGGGGTTACTGAGTGTGAAAGAATAAAAATATGAAAAAGAAAAACATGATTAATGATCGAGAATAATAAAAGAAACAGAAGCAATATATATATATATATATATATATATATATATATATATACATATGATATTTTCATTCATAATATGATTGTCATATCATATATTGATGATAAATTTAATTTAAAATGAATCATTTGCGCGTTTCTTTCTAAAAGATAGTTTTTAACAAGTATGTTGAACCTTTAGCTTAAAACTTTCGAGTTGGGAACTGTATCACTTAAAAAAATACAACTTATCCAACAACGTCCAATAATTCTTTGCAATTATTTCGACACTATCATCAATTTTGACGGAACCTATAATTTGACTGCGTCCCAAAACATCACACTGTTGTCTTCTAAGCCATTTTAAAGGATCCAATCATTAGCCAAGCCATCAGCTCTATCCAATGTGAAATATTATTCACTAAAATTATCCTTAATAAATAATTTTCATGTACTTCTTCGCCTAAATCACACATTGTGATATTTATTTAAAGAGGTTAGTTTGGTTAGTACCATGTCTGTAGCCAATGATCTTAATATCCCATATCAGATGTAAAATGAATTGGATATAGAATACAGACATATTGATATTAGGTGATTTAATTGATGGTGCGGAACATGCTATGGTTGTATTGACATTAGATAGATAGATAGATAGATAGATAGATAGATAGATAGATAGATAGTGAATAGATAGATAGATAGAGAGATAGATATTAATTGAGATAGCTGCGAACCGGTATAGATATGCTAGACAGATGGATAGATAAATAGAGAGGGAGAGGTGGGGATGAACAGTCGGAGATAGGTATGGAATGAGATAGCTATGGACATACAAAGATATGAACAAGCTTAGATAGATATATATGAACAGATGGCTATATATATATATATATATATATATATATATATATATATACATGAATTATTCATACAAAACTAATGCAAAAGTTAATGATTTAAATGGCAAGACATCCATCTTGCAAACGATTCAAATAGTACACAAAAACCTCTAAATCCGTTATGCATGAGTTGATCCTTGTTTATATAAATTTCTGCCGTATTAGTTGTTATTTTTACTATAAGCTTTCGTCTGTTCCTACAGACATCGTCAGGTATATAATAGATGTTGTTCTTGGTTTTTTTCTCTTAGTAATCGAAAATATATGTGTATTGGACATCGAAAATATATATTGTTTTTGAATCCAAAGCAATGCTATACAAAAAATGTTAGTTATTTTAAGAGAAAAACCAAAACAACATCTATTATTTCGGATGTAGGAACAGACGAAAGCTTTTAGTAAAATAACAACTAATACGGCAGAAATTTATATAAACAAGGATCAACTCATGCATAACGGATTTAGAGGTTTTTGTGTAATTATTTGAATCGTTTGTAAGATGGATGATTGCCATTTAAATCATTAACCTTTGTATTATATGAATAATATATTTATATATATATATATATATATATATATATATATATATATATATATATATATATATATATATATAGAGAGAGAGAGAGAGAGACAGACAGACAGACCGATAGATATATATGTACAGAATGTGGTAGGTAGACAGTAATAGAATGAGATAGATCGATCGATAGATAGATAGATAAATAGATCATGGACTTCAAATATTTTCTTGCTTATTACTTTTTAATTTTTTTCTCAAATCTCTTTTTGCGACATTCTTAAAGTAATTTTTTCTTGTTCTTATCATGGTAATGATTTCAATTTCATTTTTGATTGCTCTCTGATCTCTTTTCAGTCCTTTACCAATTTCTCACTTTGGCTTCTCATCACTTTACAATATCTGAGGTCAATACCGAGTGGCGACAGTCTGTTTCATGCACTCTTCAGACTTGGAGACTCTATTCAGTCATGAAACAGACTGTCACCACTTGCTGTTGACCTCATTGTCCCCCTCTTACACACGATCTATCACTGTTATATAATACAATTTATTACATCAGGTGACATCTTTGGAAAGTAGCTGAAAAGCATACCAACCAAGCTTTGTGTGTGAAATTGGGTAAGTAGAAACGTCGATGGTTGTGCTAGCGCAAAGTCACAAGCCATCGTGGCCGAGGCTTTGAGTGTACAGGCCTTCTTTAAAATGTTGATCACTCTCCTTCAAATGTTTCTAATAAAATTGTTTTAAATATTTCTAGTAAAAGCTGATGTCATAATGTCTTAAGGCCACATCTCGTTAAAACATGCGTTCCAGTACGATCACCGAAGTTAAGCAATGTCGAGCCTGCTCACTACCTAGATGGGTAACCGTTCGGGAGTCTTAGGTGCTGCAAGCTTGAATGTATGCTTGGTGTAATGGATAATGGCTCGGAATTGTTAATCAGAGAGCCGAGCACCAATTCCAGTTGGGTTTGTTATATACACTTACCTGCAAATACACTTGGGAAAGGTATGAATCCACCTCTTCTCTTCCCCCAGCTATGGGTTAATTAGTAAGACTTGTATCACTAAAACCATTATTATCTCATTTTGTGATCTCAACGAACACTCGTTGCCACTTTAGTAATACCAACGAATACTCGTTGTCACTTTCGTAATGCTCGTTGTAGTAGATACTTTGTAATCGCAGATACAATTATAGTACGCCGTTGAACAATACTGGTATCAGACGCCTTCGAATAACACTCACTCTGATAGTACTTGCTCGATAATACTCGCTCGAATAGTAACCTGTATAGTGATTCGAATAGAGAAATAGTATAGTGAATAGAATAGAAAATAGCAGCCCTTATGGTAATAGAGGATAGACTAGAATTAACGATCAATCTAGACGTCAAGCGTCTTCCTATATATGCATTTCCTCCATGGTCACGTCGTCTACTTAGTTCACTAATGGGATCGCCTGTGTTTGCTCACTGGTGATCTATGTTCAATCTCAAGTGTCGGCAGCGACACTTTATTCCTATATAACATCTCACAAAAAATGATTACAGTCTAAAACTATTTTCTGGAATTAAATAACTCGCAAAGGGTTGAAAAGCCGTAAAAAAGAATCAATCTGTCAATAATGAGGTCATAAACTGAAATCAACATATTATATTTTGCATGTAAATATATATAAATCCTATTGTACTTGCATACTTGTAAAATCTGGTATCCTGTTTTTTCTTGTTCTTTTTTCTTGTTATTGGGAGTAATGCAGTTAATCAATAATTTCATAGTCAGTTTCACCATAAATCCACAGAAGCGATGGTTGTACGAAAATTTTGCAGCGATAATAAGTTATATGTAAGTGTATTCGCTGATCAATAATTGAAAACGGTTTCAAGCGAATGAATCCTCAAGGTCGTAAAGAAGGCAATCCTATATAATAGACTGGCGCTACATAATCGTAAGCAAAGAATTTTACCAAATAACACAAAAAAAGCCGCATCGCTTGAAGACTTCAACAGCAGCAACAACTAAAATGGATAGCACATGTAAGTGGAAGGGAACATAATGTTCTAATCAAGATATCGACTTTCCACACTACCTTAAACAAAAGCTTAGGAAGGAAACTCCCATCATGGTTATTGTTCAGATGAGCTCTTCACTATGGTAAACGGAAATTTTTGAGTTTAAGCGCAGTATTTGACTTACAGATGAGCTGGTTAGGTGTAGGCGTAAGTTTTATGCTAAAAGTTTCTTTTCTTGCTTGTAGAACTCCCTTCCGGCTCCATGCTTTCCAGACAACTTTAATATTCAAAAATTTAAATGCGATATCAATCGCTATCTATTGTCCTGATTACTATTTTCTCTTCCTGCTCATTATTAATCTTTCTGTTCTTAATTCTTCGATACACAGTAACACCCTGTGTCTTAGTGGCTTTACTCTCTTGCATGGGGTGATACCATTAAATGAATAAATATAGAAAGAGCGGTACTGTGAACTGGAGAAGCCTTGGAGGTTTTGAAGAGTGTTGAGTCACCTGTTAATTGCTGTTGTGCCTAATGGTGGTAGCACCTGTTAGGGTCCCAACTATGGACAAATAGTAAATCCCCGAGCAGAAACAAAACACTATGAAAGTATAAAAATACATTTTTATAGTAAAAATACATTTTTATATAAAAAATTACCACTAATACCTATTGATAGTAAAATTACTAACAACACCTATTGATAATAAAATTACTGACAATACAATTTTAAAGCAAAATGACCAACAATACATTTTATAGTAGAATTACCAACAATACATTTTATAACAAAATGACCAACAATACATTTTGTAGTTGAAGGCATACAATTTAAACATCGACATTACGGTTGATATGCCTCTAACCAAAAGTACTAAACCAAACCTGGAGAAGCCTATTTTCCTGAAAAACTCTTTAAAATAGCTTTTTTTTTTCAGGTAAATAGGCTTGTTTTTTGAGTAAAAAGTCAATCAACAGCAAGGCTAACTGTTCACTCAAAGAATGCTGAGCCAGAGAAAATCGCCATTGCATCATCGAAGACTGACACCGGCTTCCCTGATTACGCGGTCGACTTTGTGTGCAGTGGAATCCATATGAGACAACGGATCTAGTTTTTCAGGATGACGTTGTACAGGCCGGTAACGCTTCTAGAATGTGTGAGAAAAACAACTGATCAGCCATTGGCCAGTTCTCCGTAAATCACAGCTTCGTTCGTATTTGTCACGTGATCATCCAATCAGTCCATCAGCCCATCGCTGTTTACTTTTGATAACATAGATACACAAACACACACACTTATATATATATATATATATATATATATATATATATATATATATATATATATATATATATATATATAATATATATATATATATATATATATATATATACACAAACAGGTTTTGTCAAATTCACCCTACAAACGTCAGTCTGATTAATATTTTTATTGTATTATTCCTCATATTTCAATGAGAATTGTATTTGTACGTGCGAATCAAAATTTTGGATAAACTGCCTGAAGGTTTGTTGTGTTTTTTTTTCAAGTACTTTCAACGTTTCAGTTATTGTCAAGAACTGGGTGTTGTCAGTGTGGTAGACAAGATTTTGTTGGGTGCGTCCTAGAATTTTCCGGGATCACTGGGATTCACATTAAACAAAAATGATGTCATATATATATATATATATATATATATATATATATATATATATATATATATATATATATATATATATATATATATATATAATAGGAAATGTATATATTTTCTGTTTAAAAATAACATGTAAACAGAAAATATATTAAATAATGTAAAATGTAAATAAACATACACCTTGTCTGCTCTGCTATTTAGCTATAACTGGAGTGGGGGAAGTGAGAAGAGATTGATTCATACATTTCTCAAGATTATTTTCACGTAAGTCAATTTAACGTCTTTGTAAATTGCTTTAATCATTGCTATATATATATATATATATATATATATATATATATATATAGCAAAGATTAGATATGTAATGGATTTTTCATTTATAAATTCTGCTACTTTAAACGTCATCATAGTGGATACTCATATTTGAGTGGACGCTCTATTTATAAAACTACTTTTTTTCCGTCTATCTACCGCTGTGAATAGTGTCTATCGAAGTAATTTATCATAATTTTCAAATTTCAAAATGGGACAGTTTTGAATATTTGTCTTTTTAGCTTTATTATATATTTGTTGTTTTTTTTTAGTTTTATTATATAATCAAGTAACAGATGGAACAAAAGGTTGTTTTATTGGCGCCATATTGATAACAAATGCAGAAGGAAAATACTAGTCAGAAAATGGAAAGATGAGATAGAGGAGTTTGCTGGTGAGGCAGAACAAAGAATAGCACAGTCACAGTCGTCATGGAAGGAATTGGAGAAAAGCCTTTGTCTAGAAGTGGACACGTAATGGCTGCTACTTCTGGTGATAATGATCTGTAGTTGATTACAAGAGAGAGAAAGAGAAAAAAGAAAGAGAAAGAGGGAGGGAGAGAGAGAGAAAGAGAGGAGGGAAAAAAGATGGCGCTATCTCCGGAATTTACGTGACTCAGAAATTTATGTCATTGTTCGATTATTTTTAGGCTGACACATCCCCATGCGTGCCACAGACTGCTGAGGGATGGGTGTTTTTTATCAAGTCACCATCTCTAGATAAATTGCCAATCAAGGCTTAAGAGCTCCTATTTACCCACAATGGTCGACGGCTTCCAAGCAATTTCGTCTACCCAATTCCACCGACAAGGGTTGGGTCAACCTATGTTATGACTTTTCAGACGCTTCCCAACGGTGTTGCACACTGGATCGTCTCCTCACGACGATGTTATCAAGAAGTTCTTGACTCATCGACCATGAAGGTCAAAAGCCGGGTTCCATGATCAGAACCCTAACACTCTAACCACTCGGCTACGCGCTCAGGAGAAATCATTGATATTTTTTAATATAAAACTAACAGCCATACTCAGCTGGTCGATCAGAAAAAGCGTTCAATTAGAATGGAGCAAAAACAGCACCATGTTTAGATGTAACAGAGTCTATCTTCTTCAATTACTTTAAAGTACTTTCATTAAAAAAACATTTTGAATTAATGCAGTTACTGATATAACAGAAGTTGTCTGTATTTATTCAATCGAAGTTAGCCGAAGACATGAAGGAGTAAAAAAGGCAACATGAAGACCCACTTCAGACCACAATTATTTTTGAGTTTTTGAAATTCAATTTGTTAGTGTGCTACCAGGGTTGTAAAAGCGGATACATTTATAAAGCAATTGTTAATCGGAGTAAAAATGTAGAATTTATCGATTTTTGATCGGCTTTATCAGTCATTGATTTTTTAAAAAAATTATCGATTTTTTTATGCTAAGAACCGACAGACACACAGACATCCGCTGATATATATATATATATAGATGGTACGTGTAATGATAGCGGTCCAGTAAATCTTTTTTTACATTTGGTTTTCGCATTGTTTCTCTTTACCTCAGCTCATAATTCGAAAACAATTTTTTTTATCGATAACTCGACAGCAAACGAATAAAGAAATTAAGTATTTTTTTTAACAATTTTTATCTGAAAATTTTAGTGATTGATCATCATGGGAGACTTACTGATAAATTTGCCAAAATTGCGTTTTTTATATATAAAAAAAGACGAGTACTTCGGCTGACGTCGGAGGCCGTATAAAAATGTAAACCTTTACCTCACGACATGTATAATAATGTGGGATTATATTATTAATTTTCGTCTAGTAATGCTTTCATTTTATTATTACTGCATTTTACCGCAACTGCCAAGTCGTCGCTCACATGATCGTTAAATAAGCAACGGAGATCGTAAATTAAAATGA